GTAAGCGGTTAGGCAACCGCAGTTTTTATTTTTAGTCATTATCAGGAAGACGCTGCTGCACATCTCTTCATGTTTATTTCTGTCGCCTCATACGACACCCACGGGATGATATGGGGTAGTGGATATTCTTACAGCGTGACTACGCGGTTTTATTCATAATCTTTATAAATATATTTAGGAAAATCAAAATTATTTTTCAGATTTATAAAACATAGTTTTTATTTTAATCATTTCATCTGTTCATAATTTTTTGTAGCATAGGGTGACAAACTAGCACACGCCTATTCACTCTCCTCTTGAAGATAACACTGTTATCTGATGGAAAGGCTGATGCAGCTAAATAATCTTAATATCCTTGTTGTACATATTACTAACGACGAAGCATAACGCTTCGTTACTAGTAACAAGATACAACGTCATCATTACAGCACTTCACCAGTCCACTGCTGAACATAGGCCTTCCCCAAAAAGCGGCACAAAGCACGGTCCTGAGCCACCTGCATTCATCGACTTCCTGTATGTCTTATCAGGTCGTCACTCCATCTAGTGGGTGCCACCTTAGCTTCGCCTACCGGTGCGAGGTTTTCACTCCAGAACCTTTCTTCCCAGTCGATTGTGGGTTCATCGAGCTATATGGCCTGTCCATTGCTACTTTAGCTTACTGCCCTTGGACTACGTTGGTCACTCTGGTTCTACTGCGGATATCCTCGTTTCTAAATTTATCTCACAGACAAACCTCGAACATTTTTTTATATAGAAGAGGGGGCAAACGAGCATGCGACTCACCTGATGGTAAGTGACTACCGCCACCCATGAATAACCGCACCACCAGGGGAATTGCAGGTGCGTTGCCGTAAGCTTATTAATCCTATAATATATTAATCTGAACAATTCCTCAGAGCACTCCCTGTGGTAGATTCGATAGAATATACAAAGGGATGCAACATACCTACGCAGCAGTGAAGGACCACGTCTCAGATCCATAAGTCATTACTGGCAACACGCACTGATTGTGCAATCTTGTTTTTAAGTTTTGAGGCATACTTATTACACTTTGTACCTATTAATATCATGTCATGTAGAAAGAATGATCGAGGAAACAGTGACAAAGCAAATTTATGTGGCAGAAGTGAACGGCAGGTTCGGGAAGGGACGCCCTAGACGAAGGTTTATCGACCAAATGGGCGATACATTAAAAATGGGCCAGATTAGGAGTACCCTTAACCTACGAGCGTGTATGCGTAGATATATGGATGTAAAAGAGGCGAGAGAGGTGTGTCAAGATCGCGCCAAATGGAAGTCCGTAGTCCCTCTGGGTGACAGGCGTGAGTGTTTATGTTTATGTATGTATGTATGTATAATATGAAAAAGTTTCTGGAAAGTTAAATATAGTGATATATGGCAGCGCTGTCGTCGCGCCACAAGCGAATAAATCCAAATCCTAAATCATGCTATCAAAGTTTTAAAACTACTCCGGTTTGTGTAGAACAGATCTAAAATATTATATTTAAATTTTAAATTAAGTGAGCGGTTAAAGTTGCACTTTTCAGATCTTAGTAACAAAATTACTACAATAGTTTTTTTAACGTATACCTGATATACATGGTAGAGCCATGCTGTAGCCATATTAGTAGTATAGTTGTAGCACGAATGGGTATGGTATGGCACAACGTAAAATAGCAGCTTAACGAAAAACTTAATAAAAACTTTACTGAAAAAGAGGCTTTTCATCTTAGTCGCGGGTGACCAAACATCTGCATTTTGATTATTTATTGAGGATAGATGTAGATGTTTATGGGTCACAGCAACCACTAACCATCAGGTGAACTGTGTGCTCGTTTGTCACCCTATCCTATAAAAAAAGATTCATAATTCATGAAATTTGTGATACTAGGTATTCAAGTGGTCCATATAAGGGTTTTTAATAGAATAAGGGTACAAACGAGCATCCCATACACATCTATATTTATTTCGAATTAAGATAATTATTTAAGATTATTTTATACGTGGTAGGGCCACACATGTGATGACAACACAGTTGCATTTTGATTCGTAATCGAGGATAGATGTAAATGTCTATTGGCCACAGCAACCACTTACCATTAGGTGGACTGTGTGCTCGTTTGTCACCCTTATCCAATAAACAAAATTAAGAATCAAAATGCAAATGTGTTGTTACCCCTGAGGACTAATATGGAATGCCTCGTCTCCAGTAAAAAGGATCTCTGGTTCTCTACACCATACGATACACAGCAGCATTGAGCTGCTATTTTACGAAGGTATTCTGTGAGAGCGTGGAACTACTCCGTGTAAATATTAATAAACACTGCCGTGTGTCACGCGATACACATCATAAACGCGTTCACAGAAATTACTTTCGAAAATAGTTCGATAACTGCTTGTGTGGATATAATATATCGGATAATAGACAATAAATCAGTTACATTAAAACATGCATTTGTCAGTAAAAAGCGCCATCTATTTATCATATATGGAACTGACTTTACAAATGTGCGCGCAGCTTAATTAAGTAATGAGAATGCAAATAAATTAATAAATTTAAAACCACTTAACACATTTCTAACATAGTTAAAAAGGAAACTTCGTTAAAGAAGGTTACTTCAAAATGGACAGAACTCCGATTTCTACAGCATACATTTGTAAATGTGACATGAATGTTAAGTAATGGTTCATTGTTTAGCTATGCAAAGACCGTTTTCGCGATACGTGTGTTAATACTTTCACGGTGTGAGGTTATGAATTGAGTATTGTTGGTGAACTATAGACAGACAAATTATAATAGGTAATTCTAAATCTCAACACATTCAGATTATCTGTCATGTTCATTCACAACGTGAGGGAGTGCTCTACTCTCGATATGTGGCCATACCTCAATTTCACCACATAAAATCGTTCTTATACTTTTAGCTAGAGATCAAATTCATATTATTATTAATGTTGCAATAACTACAGACATTTAGTAATAAGATTAGGTTATTTTCTAATTGATTAACTATAGATTAAATAACAAAAAGAGTCTTCTCACTTAATATAAATGTAAGCAATAGATTGAGATATTATATAGTATTAAATAAGATTCCATACATTCTAATGAGGATCCCTGACTTTTGTTATTGAACTCAACACCGTTTGAAACTTTTTTTTATTTAATGAAAATTTGATGAAAAAATAAAAACGCTCATGAGGCATGCACTTTTTGATTTTCCAAAATGTTGGCGTCTACTCGTAAGTTTTTCTTTAAATTCAAACAAGTCCAATGCTTAACTTATGCCTCCCTAAAGTATTGACACAAATCACGGCCATGAGACACATGTATTCATCGATTTCCTATATCTCTCACCAGGTCGTTACTTCATCTACTGGGAACTTTACACTTCGCTTACTGGTACGAGACCGCCACTCGAGAACCATTTTTCTTTTCCATCGGTTGTCGGTTCTTCGAGAAATATTGCCACTTCAACTTACTAAACTGTTAGGCTATGTAAGTTATTCTGGTTCTATTTTTCTTGAGCTTCCTGATTTCCCTGAGACCTTGGGCTGTAGTGAAAAACCAATTCTCAGATCGATTTTAATAACGAGCACACAGTCCACCTAAGTCCCCGGTAATTCGATGCTGTGGCACTTAGACACCTACATCTATCATCAAAATTCAAATGCGTTGTCGCCCGTGAGGACTATAAGATGAAATGTCCCATTTCTAGTAAAAAGAGTCTCCAGATTGCTACATTCACCATACAAAATACAGCAGCATAAAGCTGCTATTTGATGTTCTTATTCTGTTAGAGCGTGGTTCAAATATACATAATTCATCACTGGCAAAACACACTGATTGTATGCTCTTGTTTTCAAGATTGAAGTATACGTAAAGAAAAGATGTTTTGTAATTTTCCAGATACTACTCAGCCAAATTGGATCGACATCTCGTTCAAAGTTTGTTTTACCTAGTTGAACATTTTGACTCAAGTAAATATATTCGTCAATAACTTTGAGCAAAGAGCCTCAACAACTACTGCTATAGATATGACCTTTTTGAATAAACATGACCTTTGCCTTCTCCATGTCCATCTTACGAAACCATTGGGAGAGACTATTGAAGTCATTAAGTGTTGTGCTGAGGTCCTCCAACGATTTTGAAACGTGGTCCAATACAGCGGTAAAGAGTTTATGTGATATAAAGTTATCCGGTCTTACACTTATGTGCAGTTGGATAGGTTTAGTACTTTGGCTTTGTAGTCGGAAAACCATATATCGATATTCAAGCTGGCACTGAGCTCAAGGCTAGACTAGGTCCACTTTCTGTAAGGCCACTTCTCGAAGCTTCTACATGAAGTCGGCCAGCATTTGTCTCTTGAGTATCGTTGCGATGTACCAAATTTTATGCATTTTACCTTCATCTCATCGTCATTCTTGTTTCCATTGTGTGAAGTTATTGTATTGGAATGCATGGATTCAGAGATATTCTTATACATCTCGTCCACCTTATCATCTTGATGAGCTGAGATTGGTGCGTAAGATATAACCTTCAACTAATACCGTTTGGTGATTCTGGATATAAGGTACGCAGCTCTAATCAACACAGTCCCAATGTTCATAGCGTAGCTAACAAGAGATTTGTGAACAAAAAATCCGACACCTTCTTGGGATGGATGATGAACCATCGAGTGATAGAATAACTTATCGGATACGAGGTATTACCGTGTACCTTTTAATAAAAAACTATTTTTGTTTTTGTGTATATACATAAAAAGTTCGTGAAATTATTGAGAAGTCAAAATAAGGGACTCCTTCGATTTTAGATAGTAAATTACTGATAAGTTCTCTTATATTTATATATTGCCTGCCACTAACTAAAATATAAAAGGGTCAATTTTTTTGAAATCTAAGCGGATTTAACATTTAAAAATTGAAAAACTATCATTAATTTTAATCAATCATATTTTTAACAATAATTTCAATTGTAATAACTGTTTGTCACTAACCTGATTCCTCCTCGTCGTCAATTTCATTTTCTTCATCCAGCGCCCTCTGCCCGGCCTCTTCTTTATGTTTCTTACTTCCAGTAATATAAATTATATTTGCTTCTTTACTATATTTATTCATATCCACATTATTTTTCTTAAAACACACTCCACTTGCAACATTCACATCACCACTAAATTCTAAACTTTCGTCTAAATAAGAATACACGTTCTTCTGTAAACAACTAACTGATGGCTTAAATCTACACTCATTAAGTATATTGTCCCATAAACTGTTCCCTGTTCTAAATGTACCATTTTGATAGACATTGTTCAGAAACGATCTACCGGATATAGCTTCTAAAATTTTCAGACGCTTTGGTATATTGTTTTCGATTTTGCTTATGTCCTCATCGGTTGCATTTTCACTGCATTCAACTTTAGATAAATTTATAACTAAAAGTAAAATTAAACTAGTCTTCATTATATTAGACATTTTCGTTCTTTTTCGCCTCTCGTTGTGGAGTATATTGTTTCTTGTACACTGGTATACATATTGGACGATCGTCGCCATTGTCAGTGCATCACTGATAACAACAGAAAGCTTTGGTTTGTGTATTATCTAAAGGTAATAACTTTAGAAATCCTTATCTGGATTTCATGTAAAGATTAATGATTCCATTTTCAATGCATCGGAATTATAGCGAATGATTAATCTAGTAAACGATCTTTTGTGCATTGGTCTAAAGGTATTTTACTGCTTGACTTTTCTTTTCTTAGTTTCAGTTTTGTTTCACATTGAAGTTACCTGCGAACAAAATAAATTTATTAAATTAATCGATTTTTTTTCTATCAGTTTTGTAACACTGTTACCGTTACCATTACAGCCTATTAAAGTCCACTGCTGAACATAGGCCTCCCCCAAAGTTTGCCTCATAGGGGTTATTTGCCACAGTTGCGAGGTTTGGCAAGCTGGTTGGTTACCGGAGTTTATTAATTTAGTCGTTATTAGGAAGACGCTGCAGCCTATTTCCTGATTTGTTTCCCTCTGTTGCCCATTATGACACGCACGGGTTAATATGCGTTGTGGAGATTGTTACACCGCCACTACACGGTAGTAATATAATATTATTTTTCCTTTAGATCAAAACCTCTTTTTAATTTATTCATGCTGTTTATTAGAAGTACAAGAAACATTTTTATTAAACGAAATTGTTAATTGTGTACATGTTATAATTACTGTAACTCCTGTTTGTTAAACTTTTGTACGTGATAGAGCCATGCTGCAGCTACGAGAGTATAGTTGTAGAACGAATGGGTCGGCTCGACCGGGGAAGGACCGCGCTCTCACAGAATACCAGCGTCAAATAGCAGCTTAACACTGCTGTGTTTCGTATGGTGAGTGTAGAGAATCGGATACCCTTTTTGCTGGAAAAAATATGATTTTTAATCTTCCGAAAATATTTGGCACTTGTGCACACACACAATGACAAAAATGTTCTAAGGTTTCGTTTCTTAAAAAAAAAATCAGTCATAATATGTTCGATGTTTTCCTAAACGACGCGACGAAATTTACAATATCAATGGTACCGGTGAGGATTGAAACTGAGTTTATCGTGTACTGTGAAATATACAGCGAGCAGCTAACCTCTGGGCTACCCTAACTCCGACTGATTAAAGTTCAACGCAAAACGTGTTAGAACCATGCTACAGCACGAGTGGGTCCGCTCGGCCGGGGTAGGACCACGCTCTCACAGAATACTCGCGTATGATTTGTATGGTGAGTGTAGACAACCGAAGATCCTTTTTATTGGTAAGGAGGCGTCCATCTCAGTTCTCAGGTATGATAACGCATCTGCATTTTGATTCTTACTTAAGAATAAATGTAGATGTCTGTGGGTCACGACATCCACTTACCGGGTAGACAGTGTGCTCGTTTGTTACCCTTATTCTATAAAAAAATTACCAGCGCTGATTTTTTTACTTTACTCCTTATACACCGATTTCCATTTATAGCCTGCGGTACACAAATATGCGGAGAGAAATCGAGTGTAAACAAACAGTGCAGTCGTTGTGTTGCCCCACCGCGCAACACATTCACACATCTTATATACTGAATGCATGTAAATACTAAATATTGCGATTATGGTGGAATTTCTTTAATAGTTAAAAGATATAAGTTAAAAAATAACTGCTATTTGTTATGGTTAAAAATATTAGTCATGGCTTTTTCAAACACAAATATACTGTGTAGATATAGTGATGCATGTGTTAGTTTTGTAGAAAAAAATATCATTCCTTATCTGCTCTTTTTTTTAGGATAGAGTGACAAAAGAGCACACAGTCCACCTGATGGTAAGTGGTTGCTGTGACCCATAGATATCTACATCCACCCTCAAAAAACAATAAAGAATCACACCAATAAAGAATCAAAATGCAGATGCGTTGTCAGCCGTGAGGACACTCCGGTTCTCTACACTGATCATACGAAACACAGCAGTGTTAAGCTACTATTTTACCCTGGTATTCTGTGAGAGCGTGGTCCTTCCCCGGTCGAGCCGACCCATTTGTGCGACAACTATATTACTAATATAACTGCAGCATGGCTCTACTTATTCAAAATCGTCGCACAGTAGCTCGTCAGAGCTGAACGCACAATTTTTTTAAACAAATTTATACAAATAAACAAACTCTCTATGTATTGAATAAGGGTGACAAGCGAGCACACAGTCCACTTGATGATAAGTGGATGCTGTGGCCCAGAGACATCTACATTTGTCCTCAATCGAGAATCAAAATGCAGATGCTTTATCACCCCCGAGGACTTAGATGTAATGTCTCGTTTCCAGTAAAACGGGTCTCTGGTTCTCTACACTCACCATACGAAACACAACAGCATTGAGCTGCTATTTTACGCTGGTATTCTGTGAGAGCGGTCCGATTCGAGTCGAGCTGACCCATTCGTGCTACAACCATAATATTGATTTGACAGCTCCGTGGCGCAGTGGCCTAGCAATGAGTTGTTGCGCTGGGGGCCGCGGGTTCGAATCCCGCACGGAAAAAGTATTTGTATAGCCTACAAATAATTGCTCCGGGTCTGGATGTTTGTCCTCGTGCAATTTATGTTTATAAATTGCCTCTACGATACATGAGAAAATCCTAGTGTGGAGATTCTTTCTATTTTTTTTAAACGTTAGAAAGAAAGAAAAAAAAATAGAAAACTAGATGTAGTGTTGCTCTACCACGCTAATGAATTTATTGAATATTACACATTTTTATGGCCTTACTAGCCTTACTAAAGAAAAAATATGTCAATTTAAGAAATTTTAAAGTTGCTCTCTCTTTCTTTTTCTCTCTATCTCTCTCTCCCTCTCTCTTGATAATCAACAATAAAAAATAATAAAGTACTGTCTGTCAAGCACTTTGGGTGACAGGTGTGTGTTTATGTTATTGTGACGCCTCATAATTATTATTAATAAATAATAATTAAATTCATTATAAAGACATTTAAAAATGTCATAGAAATTATATTTTAAACAATTAAAATGCAAATAATAAGCATTAAGTTCAAATATACTCATTTGGAATATTGAATATTATAGTATTAGTAAACGCATAAATTGTCTCTAAAAATCTCTAAATATCTCTAAATTTATTAAAATTCTGCTAAAATTTTTAAAATGTACTAAATCATATAAATACAAGTCGATTATATTGCGATAATAAAGATAAATAATATTTGTAATATAATAGATTCTCCGTCCTTGCTTGCGTCAATTAACATAAACACTCACTACAGGGCCCGTGACCGCAAGCCTAAACTGTTTTCACTCCAAGCGTACCGTAACAACACATCATATTACAACCCAGTGGTTAGGATGTGTCGCCTCTACAATGATATATCCCAGGACCATCCAAATATTGATATTCTAGGTTCAACTCAAAATGTCTTCAATAGATCTATCCGGGATATTTTGAAATAACTGAAATAATTGCTCTCATCTATATATTTTTGTTCTAGCTTGTAACAGGCCTCTCTTGTTGATTGCAAAGCCACTGTTTTATTTTTTTTTATTTGTTTTTTTAAATGTTTTATAACTTTAGCAGATGTAACTCTTAATAACTTGCTTCATAAACACATGTTTTGGCTTACAGTTTAGTACTTAATCATTTAATTTTAAGAAACTTTTATCTCCACAACTGTAAACTGTACTGTGTTAATAAATAAAATAAAATAAGAAATAGAAAAAAGTTGATGAAGGTGTTCTTGTAATAATCGGAAAATGAGTGAGTGTAGAGAACCGGATCCCTTTTACATTGAAGCCTCCTTCCATTAAAAGTATTGATCAAAGGGGCCATGTTTTAATAAATTATTATTATAATAATGTCCTCTAAACCGAACTTCGGTCACGGCGTCCAGTCCCAACAGAGATTAATTTTCTGCGCAGGACAGGATTATAGTGTCCGAGTGTTTGCGCAAGCACAGGTGCACTCTCTATTCCCTCTCTCTCATAGTCCGATGGGACGGTAAACCGACACGATCGGAGATCAGGCGCAGGACCAACGGCTTTACGTGCTTTCTGAGGCACGGGGGTGTGACACCCCCAACTTCCTGACTCCGGGCAGCTACTGAGAATTTCTTGATGGAAAAACTCAATAACTAATTTTTTTTGGCCCAACCCGGGATTCGAACCCGTGACCTCATGATCAGCAACCGCGTTCACGATCACTGGACCAACGAGGCAGTCTTGATATATAATAATAAGTTCTTGACCCGAATTTGTTGTTTAGACTCGAAAAAAACGAGAAAATCCGGGCTTCTGTTAAGTGTGTCTTCGAAGTATGTTTAGCGGTCGGCGGACCGGTCCGACTAAAGATTTTCTGTCATGAATGATCGAATTTTAGAAATTTCTGTCATCTATAAAATCCTACGTCTGTTACATCTCATGAGGCCTCTGCACAGCTGTGGATTATTGTAGAATGACATAAACATAATGTAACGAAACCCCCCCCCCCCCTCTATCTATACTATACTATACTTATACTTATTTATTTATTTATTTATTCTTTATTGCATTGCTTAATCTAAAAGAATACAAAGGGCGAACTTAATGCCTTGTGGCATTCTCTACCAGTCAAACCATGGAGTGGTGATATATATATATATATATATATAAACTATAAAAATATATCCTATTTATACATGTATACAAATATATACGTACATACATAAGCATACACATATTCATACCAACATACATATACAAATAATACTATAAATATATACGTCTAAAATATAAATGACATGAATGATTCATCTAAGAAGCGTTGTCTTTAACACATGATTTTTTTACCAACTTTTTAAAAGCAAACTTATTGGGAGCTTTTCTGATGTCGTCAGGCAAGGAGTTCCAAAGACGTGCAGCCTGAACTGTAAAGGAGTTACCATAGAACTCGGTGAAGTGAACAGGAATACATATTTTGTTGTTAGAAGACGAACGTATTTATCTTATTTTACTATTAAGATCAGAAGGCGAAAATGGGTCATTTAATATGGAAAAAAGAACAAGTAAT